TTTCTCTTAAATACTTGAAACTGTTGTTTGAGACGTGCACTTACTTGTTATGTTTGTGAAGGTAAATGTGAGCCTTTAATTGTTCTCTTTAATGTAGTCCTAACTGTTTTCAATGACGCCTAGATTTTTCTCCTTTAAGTACTTTAGGATGGTCTAGAACTACATAAATTAGAGGTCCTAAATACCTCCAGGGCCATAAGGAAGGGATGGGTAGTGCACACATAGGATATTTTTCAAGGTTGATAGAACGCTTTAGGCTAGGACCAAGGGGAGAGAATTGGGTAGTAAAGATATGATGACTACGCGCTAATGTCACGTGTAGCCCCTCATTGAGGAGTGATTACCGGTCATTGTGTGGGTATGATCCTGTAGGCCAACCAACCTAGGACCCCTCTTTCCCAACTCATGTTGTTTAAATAAATTTACTTTTCTTTACATGTGTGCAACTTGTTCAAGCCTTTTCCCTTGTTTCATTACTTATATGTGCTTAGAATGTCAAAACATGCCTTTACTTGCAAGTACATGTTAAAATTGTTTATTTGCTAAAATGACTCACATAGTTTGAGTTCGGCCGGGACCCACCATTGTGGATCGCGAGGGGTTCCTAACACCTTCCCCTCAAGGTTATTTCGAGCCCTTACCCTAAATTTCTGGTAATGCAAACTAATCCATGAGTTAATTGCTTAAGGTGCCCTAACGTACCATAATCCATTAGGTAGCGACTCTTCAATACCCAATTCTCAAAAGGAAACGAGTTATCTTCTCCCATGAATGTCGAAACTCGGACTTCCCCGTCAAAAAGGGAAAAAAGGGCGCGACAATAACATGTACAGATTCTTCCACACATAATGTGCATTTATTATAGACTCTAAAAGATCTACTATTTAATGAGTAGCCCAGAAAAATACCTTCATCACTTCTTGGATCGAATTTTCCAAGGTTGTCCTTACCATTATTGCGAATAAAACACTTACTTCCGAAGGGATAAGAGTAATTGATATTAGGACGTTTACCTTTCTATAATTCATAAGGATTCTTCTTCAGAATGGGCCTTATGAGACATCGGTTAAGAATGTGACATGTTGTACTTACACCTTCTGCCCAGAAGTGATTTGGCAGTGAATGATCTAATAACATGGTTCTTACCATATCTTGGAGGGTTCTGTTTTTCCTCAACAATTTTGTTGAGGTGATCGTGGTGCAGAGAAGTTATGAGTGTATCCTTGATCATTATAGAAGTTTTCAAATGCTTTACTTTCAAATTCTCCTCCATGATCACTTTAGATTGTTTTAATCAGATATCCCTTTTCTCTTTCAACCTTCTTGCAAAAAATCTCAAAATTTCTCAATGTTTCATCTTTATGAGATAAGAAAATCACCCAAGTGAAACGTGAATAATCATCAACAATAACAAAAGCATATCTTTTTCCTCCTATACTAGCAGTTCTAGTAGGCCCAAATAAGTCCATATGAAGGAATTGCAAAAGTTTAGAAGTAGATATAATATCTTTATTTTTGAAAGAGTTTCTGGTTTGCTTACCTATTTGACATACATCACAGATATGAATTCTAGAAAAATTCAGTTTCGATGGATTAATAACTAACTCATGTTTGGACAATTTTTCTATCAAATGCATGCTTGCATGACCAAGTTTTCTATGTCATAACCATGGATCATCAGACATGGATGTTAAGCAAATATGACCATCTATCTTTTCAAAACCATCGAGAATATAAACATTTCCATACCTTTTACTTGGGAGTACTATTTTACTTGTCTCATCTTCAGTAGCACAACCTGTTTTCTTAAAATTTACCTCATATCCTGAGTCGCATAATTGACTTATACTCAGGAGATTGTAGTTGAGTCCATCAACGAGATAAACTTTAGTGATATCAGAGTTGTTATTGAAGGGAATTGTTCCAGTACCAATTATCTTTCCTTTTGAGTCATCTCTAAACTTAACGCTTCCTCCATCAATTTTTGTAACTTCTTTGAACAAGTTTTTATCACATGTCATGTGACTGGAACACGCACTGTCTAAGTACCATTTTCTTTTGTGGCTTATTCTGTGGTGTTCCTACAAAACATAGCGATTACTTTCTTTTAGGTACCCAATCTTGCTTGGGTCTTGGAGGGTTAGTATTACTAGATTCAGAATTGGCTTTTGGTTTTCAAACCCATCCTGAAACATTTGCTTTACGAAAGCGACAAAAAAAATATTTATGTCCACTTTTGTTATAGTAGTGACACGTAACTCCTGACCCCTTTTAGGTCCTTTATTAGTTTTAGTACTAGTGGACTCTGTTCTAGCTAGTCCTTTTCCGGTTGACTTGTAAGTCGCCTGGTTTGACCTGACAGAACTATGATTGGTATATTTGCGCATGCCATTGAGTTGCATTTGCAATTCCTCAAACTCTTTTTGAAGTACTTCTTTTTCAATTTCACATGCTTCATATTTGAGCTTCCAGTCTTTTACGTCTTTATTAAGTCTCTTAAGCTCATTCATCATTTTTTGAGACTCTTTCAAAGTTAAATCAAGAATATCCTATAATTCATTGCATCTTTCACAGTTATAAGATCTTACCTCGCTTGTTTCACCTCGTGCCATGAAACAGTTCTCATTGTCATCCTTGCATTCGTCATTTGAAGTGTCCTCGTCCGTCCAGTATCCTGAGGATTTGTTCATCTTGTTTTCCAGAATCGTCATGAAGCAAAGATTTGCTATCTCTTCGTGTTCCGAACTGTCTTCATCGCTCCAACTTCCAAAAGATTTGTTCTTGTTAAAGCCTCTGAAATTTTTTGTTTTTAGATCTGGGCACTCAGCATGAATGTGTCCAAATCTTCCATACTCATAGCATTTTTCATCATTCTTGTCCAGTTCGTTGTATTGCCTGGATCGCCTAGGGGAATTCTTCCTTTCCTCGTATTCTTGAATCTTCTCATTAAACCATCTATGTTTCTTGACAGCATAGCAATCTCTTCTTGGAGGGCTTCAAGATCATCATCGATCTCATTTACAACTATTTCAGTTGAGGCCTTGAATGCGACTATTTTCATTTTTTCTTCTTGACTAGTCTTCTTGAGATGTGTCTTTTCAAAAGCTATGAGTCTCCTGTAGTTCATCATAGGATAACTTGTTTAGATCCTGAGATTCAAGAGTGACTACTTTGGTCTGCCAAGTAGTTGGTAGGCTTCTGAGAATTTTTTTGACTTGATCACCACTAGTATATGGTTTGCCGAAGGCTTTTAGATCGCTAATTATTTTGCTGAATCTGGCAAACATCTCTTCAATAGACTCTCCTTCTTTCATTGAGAAGAGTTTGTAATTATGAACCAATATGTTGATATGTGTTTCCTTTACCTTGTTGGTTCCTTCGTATGTAACCTCAAGCTTGTCCCATATCTCTTTGGTTGTGTCACAACTAGAGATTTTCTCATACTCTTCACCACTTATGGCATTATAAAGCAGGTTTCTCGCTTTATTATTAACTTGTACCACTGCCATTTGCTCATTTGTATATGAATCTATATCTTCAGGATCAGTAAGTGATTGAGCGGCAGCTGGCAGGAGATAATTCCCCTTTTTGATGGCTCTCCAAACTTTAACATCACATGCCTTAGCATAGATCTCCATACGCACTTTTCAGTGGGAGAAATGTTGTCCATTAAAGTATGGTGGCCTAACTTGTGAAGTTCCTTCCTGGAAGAGAGCTCCTATGATAACTTGATTTGCCATGATCTTTTCTCACGAACTGTTAAGCAAAAGAAAAATGTGAGCTTGCTCTAATACCAATTGAGAGTACAAGAGGGGGGGTTGAATTGTTTATTTTTAAACTTAATCTCTCTTAGTTGACTGGTTTTTCAATTAGTCGACAAGATGTAATAAACTAACAGTTGTAATAACAGAATATAAGATGCTGAAATTAAATGTAGGAATTAAAGGCACCAGAATTTTTATACTGGTTCGGATTCAATGTGAATCCTAGTCCAGTCCCATTAGGTTGCAAGGAAGTTCTCTTTAGTGAATAAGTTTCTTCGAGTACAATGGAAATGACGTGATAACTTAGTTTCTATATCACTCGTCTCTTTTGATACGATGTCTCACCAGTGTTGTTCTCTCTTTCTTCTCTAACTTGTTATATAACAGGTCTTAAAGAGTTACAATGTTTGTTTGTAGTAGAACAAAGAGAGGGTGTTTGGTTCGATCAAAATATATCTTGCTAAGGTGTGATTACATGTTTAAATACTTTGAGAGAGGCTTGAATTCTGGAAAGATTTGTCAACCCAAGAGATTTGATCCTTGGAAAGAGATTGATTCTTTCCAAGAATAAAGTTGTTTGCAACGACTCTTTTGAAACCGGAATCTTGATCCTCCCTATTTAGACACTTGATTGAATATTCAGCGAAATCTTGATTTATTTGATTCCTTGAGTTTAGCTTTGATTGATCCCATCAGTATTTTCTGATTGATTTCTTCTTCCTTTAATCGTGTCTCTTGATCCCGTCAGTATCTTCACGATTGATTTCTTCTTCCTTTAACCGCGCCTATATTCCGTCAATCTTGTATATCAATCCATACGTTCCTTGATCATTGTTAATTGCTTTCGCCAATCCAAGAGTTCTTATACAAAGAGCAAATATATTATTTTTATCATTAAAATTAGATTTAACACGTAATATAGTGAATGGTATCTATAGACAACTAATTATCACTAAAAATATAGTGCTTTATGAAAATTTCTCTTTTTCAATTTCTAGAATCTAGCTATTTATGCTTTTTCCCCTGAAAATTGGCTATTGGTCCAGTGGGCCTAAGGCAAATTTTGACTAGGTCTTAAGAATACAATCTGGGCCGGCCCAACCCGAAGAAGCAACTGGATCTGGTGTAGCCCATTTCGTCCTCCGTATTCAGCAAGTAACCCGAAGTACGTAATATGATTCAAATATTCCCAAAAAATTAATTAACGCGCCATATTTCAAATCTCAAAGAAACAAAAACAACATTGAAGAAGCAGCAACAATGGAAGAAGAAAAAGAAGAAGCATTTCCTAATGAAGATGAACTCGAAGTTTCTTCTGCTCTTCTCCTTCTCTCTACTACAAAGTATTACTACAAAATTCTCAAATTTCTCTATAATTTTCAGTTACTCAAATTGTATTGCTAATACTATATTTTGCTGTTTTTTTTTTGTTTGCTTTTTGTTTTGTAGTATGAAGAGCATATCGAAGATATCAGAGGCAGCTGCATTGAGTTATACGATGTCGGTTTTGGATTCGAAGTAATACTACAAAATTCTGAATTTTTTCTCAAATTTGAGTTACCTAATTTGTTGCTCATTTTGTGTGTGTGTGTAGAATGAAGAGTATACCTGAGATTTCACAGGCAGCTGCATTGAGTTATACGGCGTCGATTTCAGATTCGAAGTCGAAGTCGAAATCGAGTGCTTCTAATTCAACTGTAACTGCTAATGATGATGTTGATGAATATGATGATGATGATGATGATGATGATGAAGTGTCGTCTGCTGAGGCTAAAGCACATGCTCGTCGCGTGAAGATGATTCGTATGTTTCGTATCATCAATAAGCTTAAGGTGAAAATTTTGAAATATTGAGTTAAGATGAAGGTGATTTATAGTTTTTGATTTGTTATTTTTGTTTTTGTTTTAGTGAATTATCAGTCTATTATTGTCTACGATTTGTTATAAAGCTGCTTCAGTGCTTCGTATTATAGCTCGCTGCTTTGTTCCTATGAATTGTTCATAGTTTAATTGCTCTGTTTTCTTTCTCTGTGTAGGAAATGTAGAATCGATTGAGTTTTTGATATGTTATTATTTTGATGATTTTTTTTTTTTTTTGCAGTTTTCCAAACATGATCTGTATATTATTGTTTTTGATCTGCTAAGAAGCTGCTTCAAGTGTTTCGTATTAGTAGAATTTTTTACTCTGCGCTTGAGTTTTTTTTATTTTTTATTTTATTTAAATTTTTGTTCCTCTGAATCTTCATGTTCAATACTTCGATTTGCTCTGTTTTTCTCAGCGTTATGAGTTGTTAATTGATGCTTTACAATCGATTGAGTTTTCTGATTTTTCTTTTTTTGTAATTGGATGAGTTTTATTTCAATTTCCAGTAAAATGATCAGTCTATTCTGTTTTCTCTCAGTGATTCAATGAAAATTGACGCTTTGATATATAATCGATATAATATTCTCTGTTTTCGATTAATTTTCCGAATATCTAAAAATTCGTAGGCGGTGCGAAGAAGACGGTCTAAGAGCTCATGCATCTCCGACTGCCTGAAAATCAGCTCCGGCAAGCCGGAAACTGCCACGTCAGCATCAGCGTCGTCGTGTGTGTCAATTGTTGACTCTGCTGCCTCCGGCGACATCTCAAGCCGTGAGACAGAGAGTGTTTGGAGGAAGATGAAGGCGATTGGCTCGGCGGCTCACATGCGGCGGAGAGCTGAAGCGATATTGAAGGTGCTGACGTGTCATGGTTGTGCTTCTGAAGTTAGGATTCGTCAGTTGCTTGGTGATAGCCCTGATACCAGCAAAGCCTTAAGAATGTCTCTCTCTCTCACACACACAGCGCACACAAAACAATTGCATGATATTTGTGATATGTGTTATAAAATAAAGACTGTAAAGTAAAGACAAGTATAGAGAGAAACTGATATATTATTCAAATTTCAAACTTCTGTACATAATAAACTGAATTCTCCTCTATTTATAGAAAAACAGAAGCTGCTGTGTAAGCTGCTACTGCAAGCTGCTGTGTAAACTGCTTGTAAGCTGCTGCTCTAAACTGTTGTGCCAGATATAAATAATCTTCTATCATGGGTAATATTTATCCATAGCGGAGTACCGAAAGGATAAGCTTCTTCAGGAGGCTTATTTCCAATAAAGTAATAAATAGATAAACATATTCATGGCGGAGGCTCATATGGATAAACTTCTTCAGGAAGCTTATTTACAACGGAGTACTAAATGAANGTCTCTCTCTCTCACACACACACACGCACATCACACACAAAACAATTGCATCGATAGTCTTATTTTTTTTTCCCCCTTGCATCGATAGTCTAATTTTGTATTTTTTTGTATTTTGGGTTATGCTTCAGATTATTGAGACTAGATGAAGTGAAGAGGACAGGGGCAGGAGGTCGTACAGATCCTTATGTTTATGTGGTAAATTAATTAATTATGCATTAGTTTATGAGTCTAATTACTTTATATGAGATATGAAACAATTACGGGTGGCAAAATGATTAAAAAAAATAATTAACTACACATATTATCTACTGAAAAATGGGTTGGATAATGAACTTTTTAAAAATGGGTCAAATATGGATAAGAACCATTTAGAAAATGGATAACCAATTGATAATTAATGAGTTTAACTTTTACATTTGTAAAACCTTAAATTGGTGGTTCCTCAAGTTTGGGAGACTAGGTATCTCCCAAATGTGTTCATACTCAAGAAGTCATGGATAATATGGTTACACATATTATTCGTCGGTTAACCCGTTTTTTATCTGTATTAAATATGAGTCGGGTCGGATAATTTATCCGTTTTTTCATTACCCGTTTTCGACCCGAACCATATCCAACCCGACCCCTTGCTTGCCACTCCTAGGAACAATTAATTTGATTGTTTTTAAGTTTTTTCCTTTTAAATACTCATTCATTTATAAGTTTGACTAAGCACGAAATTTAAGAAAGAAAACAATTTGAAACATGCTATGATATTTGTGTAACTATCAGATATTTGTAGCGTTAAGTATGTCATAACTATAAAAACTTGCTACTATTAACGATAAAATGAAAACCTTAAGTACTTAAATTATTTTTAAAAAGAGTGATTCTTTTTGGAACATAAAAAGAAAGGAAATAGAGTCATATAAAGTTAAATGGATGGAGTATTTTTGCAACTAGTTTCAATTCTTTGTTGATAGTTGGAAAAAATTTCTTTGTTGATATATACATATCCATCCACAGTCAATTAAGGCACTTAGAATAGAACGAATTGTAATAGATCAACAAGGATTGTGGTGGAGTGATAAATATTTCTTCATTTTTAATTAGAGGTTTTGAGTTTCAGAGCTAGATATAAAGTCGCATTTGTTATGGAGCATTTTACCCCCAAATATGGAATTTTTCGGTATGAATCCGAATTTAGTCGGAAAAAAAAGGTTCTAGAGTTTGAGAAAGCATCTTGGCTAGAGTGTCAAGCTGATTTACTAGTTTACTCCTTTAGTAAATCATTAATATATTAGACATAAAGACTAAAGATATATGCATATGATGTATGCATTACCCTCTATTATCTCTTCATGATTGAAAGTTTAGTGCTTATATTTGTAACTTCAGAACAGATTTTTCTCCATTCTTTCCCCTAATGTTTTTCAACCTTTTAACTTTTTGCTGCAGATAAGTTGAGAAGGTAGACAGCTCAAAAATAGAGGTGAATCAAGTTTTTAATTCCACAAGATAGATAAAATTTGGCCCGAGAGGGGCTGCATATATGCATAGGAAAAACACATATAATAACACTAAATATTACTCCAGTGGTATATAAATGAGGCCAAAGTATTGTTCCAAAGCTTATTGTACAAGACAATGCATTATGCATGCCAACCAAATTGGTGATTTACTTTGTATTGCATCTCTTACATATATATATATATACTATGAAAACTATCGATACGAATTACTATGCTTCTTGAGTATTATGTGGTAAATTAATTTGCATTATCTTTTGGAAAAATAAAATTTAGAACTTTTTGAGTCCGTTGTTATCTATGTGAACGAAACTGAGTTAAAACAAAATTCAGGAAACTGTTAGAAGAATAAAGAAATATATCAAATAGTAAAGAATCAGAAATATTCCGAGTCCACAATTTTCTTGTGCGTCCTTAAGGAATTTTAACCCCCTCACACATTGCCAAGGTAATGGATTAAATCCTCCCAGGATAAAACGGAATAAACCTTCCTGCAACAGTGGCAATACAAACTGCAGGATACCAACGAACTCAAAGAACGGAGCAAAATCACACTTACGAATTTGAGAGAGAGAGACTGCGAATTAGGATGCAGTATATTCAGAAAGAAAGAAGTTGTAGAGTCTTTTTCGTATATGGAAGATGCAGCCTTGCCTCATAATTTATAGGCAAATATCAGAAGAGGTGTCTGGAAAGGTGCCTTTTCAGAAAATACGCGGCCTGCCGCGGTTCTACCGCGATCG